CTTCGCAACCTTGCTACAAATACACGAGAATCTGCTGCATCTACAACCTCTAACGCAAACGGCCAAAATGAAAGAGCCAACTCGGGTGCTTAGAAATCCTGAGGAAATACATACCTCGATGCAACTACGCGAAAGAAGGAAATTTAAACCCCATCAAGAAATTGAAACGTTGGCTCTAGACGATTGTTCAATAACGCGCGACATCTCTCACATATGCGAGTCTATCAACTCTAAGCTTGCCTGCTGCTTTGTCCCTAACACTCTGCCGTTTCTTCCTTCAATACCAAAAAGAACGACCGAGCTATGCTGTAATATCCCTGTGACATTGATAGAGGTGCAAAGTGCCATCGCATGCATAAAACCATCAACTCGTCCATGCCCAGATGGCATCTGCCCAACCGTCATAAAACTCGGAGAAAAAACCTCGCTCTATTGTTATTACATATCTGCACACTTTCTCTCACTACCGGCTGCTTTCCATCTCGATTGAAGCAATCCATTATAATGCCTAAGCAAAAGAGTGGCCCGAGAAATAGTGTCAAGTTACCCCCCAATAAATCACACCTCTGCTGCTTCCAAAGCCCAAAGGGAATAGTCAAAAAGAACATCGTTCAATGTCTTACAAGACGTGATCAGATTAACTCCTCACAACATAGTTTTCTGTTAAAACGCTCCGGCGTCACTTGCCAGCTACAATTCCATGATCACGTCACGACTATGACTGACAGAGGAATGGCAATCAGTATAAGTCTGTTGGACAAGCAAAAGGCGTTCGATCGCGTGCCGGACAAGCCACTGCTCTCTCCTCTAGTGTCATATGGAATTGAAAATCCTCCTCTTAACTGGCTCGACTCATACCTAAACGGTTGAACCTAGGTAGTTAGAAGCGGTCAGCAATATTCTACACCGAAACAAATAACCAGAAGCATATTACAGGGAAGTGTGCTCGGACCACCAGTCTTCCTAATCTACCTAAACAACATATGATACCCGAGCAAACATGGACACCCATTCCTGTTTGCAGATGAAGTCAAACTGGTTTACTCATTTCATTCAGACCAGCTACAAACGTGCCTGGTAAGCATATGTGAAGACCTATTCGCGCTAAATATAGCTAGTGAACGTTTATTTATGAAGTTCTCCGCAGTAAATTCCCAAGTACTTGGGTACAGATGCCGCATCCTAGAAGGCTCTATCACACTTGCCGGAAACGTGATCCCAACATCTCATTCAGTTCAAGACTTAGGAATAAGGTAATCCAACTCTAACAATTTCTCTAAACATTTGTTTTATCAAGTTGCAAAAGCAAGGTATCTATGCGGATATATCACCAGAACTTTCTCCCTACCTGAAGCATGAATTGAGTCATGCAAGCAAAAGTATGACCGACTCTGGAATACTGTACTGTCGTTCACAGCCAATGGAGAAAGAATGACAAAAGGGCTCTGATAAATGTCCAGCGATCATTTACCAAGCTGGTCATGAGGCACTGCTCAAACTTGTGTTATTATGATCGCTGTCGCAAATTCCAACCGGATATTCTTTGGGTGCGACGCTTAAAGAACAACCTCCTTCTATTCTACAACATTATAAACTAACGAATTTACGCAGACAGCAGCGTACTTGAACTAAGGAGGACTGCAGTCTACCCCACACGTACTGGCGGCTACATGATACGAACAAAGCTTGCAAGTCATAAAAGTCGATCGAGTTTTTTCATAGTGAGTTATAATGATCTGTGGAACTAAATACCCCTACAAATACGCATGAGTGCAAGCTATGTCAAGTTGCGAAATTCCCTACGGACGTTCCTCACTATATCAATGGTGTCGAGGATATTTGACTCACAGCAAACTCAATAAACCTTGACAGAAGCTGGTATAAAGAACATGTGATTGGATATTCACTTACAACTAGCTGACCTACTATGTGTCATTACCTACAATACCAAATCCTGTGTCTGCGCAGCCTATTATCCCCTCCCTTTTATTTTCTACTCCTGAGCCCCACAAACTAGAAAATGATGATACAAATATAGGTAAACTTTACACTTGAAGAAAAACCTCCTGATCCGAAATTCCATTATTTAACTTTCCTCTAATATTTGATTTATGCCGCATAAACTATGAAACATACTCACTATAAAAATGATCGCTCCAGCTTATCGGGTCGTGTACCGTTCGGCGGTAAATATATCATTTTAATTAATTAATTACTTATTTACTTGTTGACGCGTTCTACCAGGTGGACAGTCGATGCCGACAGGACAATTGTTGCCAAATCCTTAAGGTCTTTCGGTGCAATTTTCTATGATCCTTGAACGCGGTTTTGCTGAGCAGCGGCTAACGATACGTTTTCAGAATTTATGACAGGATCATAATATAATCCCCATCGTCGGTGAATGATTGAGACCACCCGATGTTGTGGCTGCATTAGACGTGCAGCGCAAAAATTTTCGACCGTTGAAGTTTGGAAGATTGCAAAGCCATTGGCGACACCGACGGTAGAATAGTAGGGGAAGGTTCGATCGGTTGATTTTTGTGTGCATTGACTAGAGGGTTGCTTCAACGTATGTTAGTGAACCTGCATAGCTAGTGACTTATTCCTGTAATTTTATAGTTCTTGATTACTTGCAAGTCCAAAGGACGATATCTTTGGCTTTTCTACTGCTCCAGTTTCATTTGCACCTGGGTTGCATCCAGCTATCCGCACTGGTGGTGACTCAGAGATGATGGGTGTAATGGAGCTCCGATTTAAACCTCGACGACATTATATGCACAATTGTGATTGTGTGCGGTCATATAACTCACGGGCCAATTGGGCGTCGCAAGTAAGTCTTTGATGTATACATTCATTTCTCTTAGGAAAGAAAAGACAAGTGGGTATCTGAAAGATCCGCAAGCCTTACTGAATTGACATGCTTGGTTCTCTGGTCACCAGAGGCAATTCAGATAGTCTAATGGATGATTTCATCAACTGCTTCTATTGGCGATTTGATGACCGTTAAAAGTTTACAGGAGGTCAGTCCAGCTATATAGTAACTATTCATAGAAAAAGTAAATTCGGTTTTCTTGACAACGTGAGGCATAGTAGGATGACAAAGGGTTGTCAAAAAATAACCTTGTAACTACGATGAGCAGCTGTGCATAAGCTGACTCTGGGGTAGGTACAGTGGGCGGACTGCAGCACAAAAATCATAAGTCATCTACTCATGCTAAGCCAATCAAGCGGTGACCTGGAAACTCTTATAGCCGAAACTGATCAGTGAAAATAACACCGTGCACATCCTATTGGGCACACATATCCAAAGAAGTCAACAGCAATAACAGACAGAGAAATAACCTCGTTGTTTTATAAATAAACAAACAAATAATTATGCTCGACAACGTCTATCCAGGCATGATCAAGTTTAAAAAGCGTGATCAAAAATGCACAAATACACAACTTGTTTGCTATAACTGTGAATTTATTTGTAGGAGTGTATATACGTATGTAAATGTTGTGGCTGCTGTTTCCTTCATGATGCTTCTTCACCGCAGTTGAGCTAAACCAACTTAGACATAAACTAGGTATTTTTAAGCTGGATAAAATTCATTCCGCTTTATTTGATTTGTTATGCCCCCTGAATAATCTTCTATTAAACGAGCATTCTGTTGTTAAAGCTAATTGTGGTTAGCTTCGTTAACTTTATTGAGTTTGTAGCTTTTGTTACGTAACATGAGGACAATTTGTACCCATCGCAGATTCATTGCTAGCCAACTTCATATGTTAATTTAGGGAAGAGTTAAGTCGGCATAGCCGATTGGCTGTTGTTTGACATCCCAGGTGTGGCTGCACTAGATGTGCAGCTACCGTGACTGGTAGTGACTGTGTGACAGTGAATATTCGGTGCGGGGCACTGGCGTAATACTGTTGCCTTTCTTTCTTATTTCATTTCGTAAAATGCAACAGCCAAGTTATTGTGTGACGCTGACTTTAGTGATCAACTTTTTCAAGATGCGCTTTTGATCTAACCAATCTCAGGGATTTTGTACAGATTGACTTAGTTATAGCATTTCCTGCTATGGAGATGGAAGTTGGCAATCCTCGAACTCCCGTTTGTGGTGGCCCTCTCAACTAATCCAACCTACATCAGGAACTAGAACATCAAGCGAGTCAGCGGCAACGTTCATTGTATCAGATAATGGTACTGTTACTTAGCAGAGGAGCAGCGGTTGAAACCAAAATCGTCACTGAAAAAACCGGACTGAGTCAAACAATAAGAAAGCAGTCACACGAGGCAACAGTTCAACACAGTGAACTATGGGTAGTTATACTATCAATCTTAGGGGGGATGTGTTACGTCACCAGAAACAACGACTGTAAACCGTCAATAAAGCTTCCAAACTAATGCGTTAGAAAAACGTCAAGAGGTACAAGCAAACAAAAATGAAGCTCGCAGTCACTAACTGGTACGCAAAATAAATCTCAATTTGGTGCTTCCCCCAACTTCCGTGTATCCATTCTTTGGGGAGCTATTGTTGACAAGAAGACAAGATCTCTGATTTATGGAAAACGCTTCTGTCTGGTGTGAAAATCTTCTATTTTGTCTCAGCTGAATCAAACACGTTTCCAATTAATTTCTAGCCACTATCGCAGGTGGAAACAGATAGAGAACTGACACGGTTCAAAAAGTAGTTATCCGTTTGTAGGTTAAACTGGAAACCTTCATTGTATGTTCCACACCGAACAGAACAGCATCTGCTGTCAATGTAGTCTGAAATAGTGTATATTAACAGGTGTTGTGATCAACATTTCAGGTCTGAGCATTGAGCACCGTATTGACTTGCCATCCATAAAGTTTATGTATTTAAAACAACCAACCGCTTATTATTCATTGATGATGCAGTGAATTTGCTGGTGATATTGGTCTACAATCTATGGTTCTGCCGTCTTCCTACTCCGAGAGTGTGTGATATACAGACACTTAGATGTTAATGAACATGTCAGTCTAGCCTTACCACCGCCCATAGTAATCCGAAGCACCCGTCATGGTCTGCGACGTTTGGATCCAAATGTGCGGAGGTCTTGCGCAATAGCTGAGATCTAACAGCATCCACCGCACCCATTTGGCAGTTGGTCAGAAAGTCTTTGGCCAAACGCTCATTCGGCCCCAAAGCAAACGGCACTGGTTTATTGCTGGCGGACTGCATCCAAATGCTGACCGCTTTGAACCGATCTTTCCATTTCTTGGACCATTCGGACAGGCGCTGCTCATCGGATCGGTCCATATGTGTCGGGATTCGATCGCAAGGCGCCACTTGCTCCGACTGGTGCCACAATGGCCATGCTTGACGAACAAACTCTTGGGTAAAGCGAATATCGTCCAGATACTTGTTGATTGCGACCAAAGTCTCGGTGTGAAAACGTGCAAACTCCAAACTGTCAGGTGTGGGAACGGCAGAAAGGACTATGCTAGATTGACAGGAATAGTATAACCTAATCCATGCGATTCGAAGAGGAATTTCTACAGTATAACATTGCCAGAGAGCAATAAAGTCCACAGTGACGCAGCAGTTAATGTAACTTCGGGTCTAAGTGTACCACGGAATTTACACTTTATATCCTCCACTACCAAGTGGAAGAAAATGTTGACCACTTGTGACTAAACTCCTCTCACTAGACAGAAATAATGTGATTATCCATGTGTCTACCGGTTGAATATATCCAGACAAGCGAAATTCCCTTATTAGTTACCTATAATGGAGGTAAAGTTCGGAAAATTCATAACTCCCCAACTTCTACGTGGGCTTTGAGAATACTCTGAGGATTAACTACTTATCAGGGGATACAGAGGTTGCGTTACTTAAAGAAAAGTTGTCATGTAACACTTCTCCCAACTTGGGGGCATTTCATTCATTCACTGTAATTAGTACACGTTAGCTAACCGCGAAAAACATTTCGGCTATTGTGCCCTAGTACAAAACGGTAACATATATGGAAAATCGAGACAATAATTACTACACAACACAAAATAAAAATAGTAAAATGGGATGAGCTGGTGGTTAAATGAGGAAATTAAATGGAAGGGTGAGAGACATAGAACCTCACAACACGAGCGCTTTGAAGGTCGGCACTTCGCCATGTCAACCAGTGTATCCAACCAAATGTGTTCATCTTCCTTAGGACCTCATCCCGGCAGTCGGGTGACACCAACCTAAGCCGGGTCCGAAGGTAGGGTTTTCATTTCCCTTAACTAAGTCATCGCTTGGCTTTCTCTCCTTTTCTTCCATCCACACCCCGGGCGCGTAAACAACGCATGTCGGGGGAGTTGGTGTGTTGCCAAGTCCTGCACGTGGCTTAGACATCGGAACGTGCTGTGTGATATGATGGTGCTGAGCGGCGCACTATCTCTTCTTGCACCAAATACACGACACCGAACACGCTTATCGCTCACAGGGTTTTCCAATTCAAGTGTCACTTACCAACTAGATTTCGTTAATCTCTTAACGAAATCGACAGCTTCTCTTAAAGCCTGAATTGTACTTCACTTAGACATTCAAAAAGCATTCGATCGATTTACACACAGAACGTTTATAAATGCAATTTGCAATAATTGTATGGTTAGTTCACTACCATCCTTGTTAGAAGCCTTTGTCACTGGTCGGAAACAGACAGTCGAGATTAGCGAGTATACGTCAGAAACAAGAGATTTTACTAGTATCTTACTACAATGTAGTGAACCCGGGCCTCATTTTTTCTTGCTACATGTAAATGCGCTTTGTTCTGTGATAAAATACGAACGACCATATTGGTTTGCCGATACTATCAAAACTTTGTCTACCACCGGATTTCAAGATTGGTCTCTTATATCTGAGATCCAAAGTGACCTAGTCTCACTGACTTTTAGCTTTAGAGCACTAGACAATAACTTGGAGAGGAAGTGACTAGAGAGTCCCCAGGACTCCTAAACCCCCTATCTTCAAGCCTCCTTCCTGGTAATTCTGTTTGTTGCTTTGTTGGTCTTGGGTTCATAATAAGTAGTTGCTAAAATGGACGACCGTACACGAAGATAACTCAACTTGAAAGGCCCTTAGACAACTAGTGTAGCTTTTGGGCGTCAGCGGTCTAGTGATATGGAACTTAACCGTCAGACGACGTACATCGAGCTCAGCTTCCAGGTCAAATACTTTTTCACTTCATAATAAGACCATTCTAACGGTGCTACTCATTGCGCCAGTACCACCGAACTTATGTAGTTTTTATTGTTTACGAACCACCGCGTTTATGATGTGGCTACTGTGTACACGCTGTAATGTCAAATGCCCTGCGCATTGTAGCAGTGACTGTTCTAGCTTGATTCTATTCTCAACTAGACCGAGCTTTTTTCATTCTCCAAAGCTGGTTGCCCTCCGAGTCCACAGAATGTGCCTGGGCCAAGTGTGGGATTTCCCAAGTAAAACACATAAACTCTGCTCTTTCTAGCCCCGGGTAGAAAGGCCGCGTAACCCACGGACGGAACTTTAGATGGAACATCGTAAATTGTTTCAACATTTTTCGTTTTTATCGGTGATATTTCTCGCAACCAGTGCAAATTGTATTTTTATTGATAATCAGTGAATTCGATGGAGTAATTTGCCACAAGTTTTGGATGGATAAACTCTAGCTGCCGATAACGCATACCAGCCATTCTCACGGAATATATTTATGATGGGAGATAGCTTTAAGAAAGAATTAAAGAGAACCCACTTGATTTGACTAGTCGCGTGTCTGCGCTTTTTTCCCTTTCCAACCACCGCAGTTGTTGGGGGCTCCAGTTGATCAGTGGTGAAGCGTTCTTGCGATTCACAAAGCCTCACCTCCATCCCACTGGTCAACGTTTTCTCGATTCCCGTGACATCCTCAGGCTCAAGTTGACTTTGGAGCTCCAACGTCAGACGATCGCTGGTCTCTTGTGACAGTTGCTTTGGCCAAGTGCAACAAGCTTGAGGTGGCTTGCAGTGTAACAGGCGATGGAACATCAGGTCGGCCCACCAATGTTGGTACAGTGCGCTTCTAGGGTCCCATACTTGCAGATCTGGTGGTAGGGGCACTTTTGAATCTGGAAACTTGAAAGGCATTAAGAGTGAAAGCGGACTCAAGGAATTGAAACATTATGTTTAATAAATTACTTATAATGGTACTAAAGGAAAAGTATACTTTCAAAAAGTTGGGTCAAAGCTGGGTCAAATAATATCACTGTGTTATTGTTGTATGTGTCGAGAGAAAAGGCATATATGGTATATCAGTTTCCCCAAAATTTTAACCTTTGATACAATTGATTCAAGGAACCTGACTGCAACGCCTCCGTTGTTATAATGAACTTCCAAAACCTATATTGAGCTAATCAGACTACCTTGAACACTGGATAGCACAGTTCGGGCAAGCCTCTCGCAGGCAGTCACTTCAATGTGCCCTTTTAGAACTAGATAATGCTGGTCACAAACAACAACTGGGAGACCAATGCATCGGTTGGGTTAAACTTGGTAATGCGTCACTTCTAGGGCCAGTTGTACTCTCTTGTTTAGAGCTCCAAGAAAACAAAACGGCTTGTTTGAAGTGCTCTTGAATGTGGCTAAGGATTGATTTCAATGACAACCATACTGGGCAGCCGTAACCCTCTACCGCTTCTTCTTCTGATTACACTGTGCAACAAAAATGTATTTTCTATAACAGAAATTCCACTATCCCAACCTTATAGAATACACTACACTGATCGTAGAGTTGTTTTCCGATGTTACCTAGCACATCAGGTTACATTGGTTTAAGCAAATTATTATTTTCAGTAATGTTATGACTACCTTATCCTAATTATATGTAAATGTACTAAATCATAGCAATTCAGAATGCATCCTTGTGGTAAACAGGTTTAAAACATCACTAAAACATTCACCGCTAACTGCTGACTGCAGCTTGGCACTGGGAAAGGAGCATAGTGCCGTGATCGTCGCATGTCTGATCCAATAACCTCACGCTGCAGAAGCTGGTAAAAGTCACCCACCACAGACTGCGTGTAATTGCCACTGTAGGGCTTCTCCATGAATGAAATGTCTTGGTGAAAGTACTCACCCTACTGATCGCTCCCAGATCCCAAGTTCTCAGGTAACAGGTCAAGGTGATTGTGCAAAAAATTGCGTTTTGAGTGACTTTCGAGCACCAACAGCCGAATAGTCCGCAAGGTATCTTTTGTGATTTCTTTGTAATATTTTGTCTTTCTTCTGCCCAAAAATCCTGCACATGCTGCCTTGAATGATCGCCGCGCTTCAAACACAAATGCAGTCAACTGGCATGTGAAAGCACTGTCTTCCCTACTGGCAAATGTCGGGATCAGTAAGTATCCTTTATTTGAGCTTCGCATCATTGATACTCGAAAACGCTTGTTTCAGCTACTGGAACGCAAAACCATCTCGCTTGAGGGCTTTGACGAAGTTTTAATCAAAACAAGCTGGATGTGCAGGGGTGGTAGGTAGATATGATCAGAGTACACAATAGGTGTTTGCTTTACACTCCTTTTCCCTCCAGTCTACTCATTCCACTGTTGCCAAATTTTGGTTGTGTGGTGCTGTTAAATTACTCTACTGTCCCACAACCACAAGAAACTGCAATATTTTGTGAGGTCTCTTTGCATATTCATTAGGAGTCCAATGACTTGGAAGTCAACACGGATGTTCCAACAGTACTTACCGTGGATCAGGGCAGCGAGTATCTGTTGCATACTTTCTCCTCCATATTGGTGGCATACACTCAAGGCACAGTTGGGTGCACATTTCCATTGTAGAGCGGTATAGCCTTAAGACTACTCTTGGACGTGTCGAAGAACAAAAGCCATTTATCAATGATATGCCTCACACCAAGCTTCTTCATCAGTCCTTCCGGGTCGAAACAGTAACCGATGGTTTCCTTCGTGTCATAGAAACTGGACAGTATAACGCTACGATTTCTGTATCCAGTAACCTTAATGTTTACAACAAGTAGGTGTCATTACTGCAGCACAGACGCCAGTAACCCGGCCTTGCATTTACACAAGCCCAAGTCATGTTATTCAGCTCTGATTGTTCAGTAAGTTGTGACCTGACAACAGCAGCTTCAACGTTTTCAAAGATGTCGGAAGTGGGGGAAGTTGACGATACAGAATCCCTACTCATCATCAGTGACATGTTAGCTAGAGGCACTGGAATGGATAAGATGCGATCATGAGCAACAGGTCGAATGGCTGATGGAAGCGCGAGTTACTGAGTTGAATCCTTGTTTCGGTTGGAGATCCCAATAACACTGGTTATGCAGAAGTATCAGTCTGCCGTGTGATCATTTGGCTCCCTTCACAGCATGGCGATTGTGAAGAGCTGCTTACCTCAGTAATTGAGACACTAAGTCAGATAAAGATTGCACGACACACAAACAATATGTGGCGCCCACTTCCTCTCCTTGTCTCTCAGTTTCATCCCAAAATATGCGTAGTAGGCAGAGTTCAGTAGTGAAGAAATGGGTCTGCACTGCGGTTTTTTAGTAAACTGTCCACAGACGTATTAAAAATTATTGCGCTCCTTGACACAGCAACGTCATTCAGCCATGATCAAGATATCAATTAAGAAAACAGCAACTAATCGATTTGCCGTGTCAGGTGGATACCATGAGCAAGAGGACTTTTATTCCACGATTACAAGGAGCCAATGGACTGATCACAGGCGAGCGTTCGATGCATGAAACACACTGCCTAGATGAAATGCAAAACTAAAATTAAAAATCCCAGCGTGATAGAAACATTTGTTTTGCAAATTCGTAATCAGTTCACATAGCAGTACTAGAAACTTAGTTAAGTTCTGTAGTAAAATGGTGTTGCACAGTGTTATTAATTACAGCCTAGTTCACATCTGGTATGTGCACTGCGCGAACAATCAGTGGGTCTGGCATTTTGTTTATTGCGTCGAAAATGACAGTGAACCGCTACCACTGTTAGTTCGCTCACCAAGACCCCATGGCTGGGTCGTGTGTTACGTATCGCGGCAGACAGAATCCCTTGCGGTGCGTTGTTTACGCGACGGAGATTTGGATGAAAAAAGAGAAGAGGAAGCCAACCGACGAGTTAGTCAGGTTAAGTTCCAGAAGATGATTAGGCTTGATTGGTGCTATTTGATGACACGGAGACGATCGATCTTCATGAGGTTTGTATGGTGGGCATTGCTGTTTCTCCCTTTGTAAGTAACCCCCTTCAACCCCCTTCAACCACCATCACATCCTCACTGCACAATATCAACTAAAGTAAAATAATAGTTCGCTTTTGCTTCTGTTATTACGTTTCCTTTTTGCTATTTTTATGCCAATGATTTGAATTTTACAGCTGCACAACAGTTGAGGTGTTTCCGACAGCGTACGTAGGCTCGAACCCGCGCCGTCAAAATACAAGACCAGTTTGTTACCCTTAAGCTACGGGCAGGCAATAGACCAGCAAATAGATGTTTGACAGCATCCGGTTTCGGATTTGCCTGTCACTGTGGCAAGCCACAGGACGCCTGCGCCTACAGAGGGACCATGGATGGCTTGCGCTGCACCACCCACAGCTCCAACCACATACCCCATATCCAATGTAAACCCGAAGGAATAAGACCAACAGGCATGCGGATGGGAACCACGTTTCATCAACGGAGCCGGCCCACACTTCTTCACAGGCAAACACAAGCACGGTGTATTTGGGGAATCAAGCGCACACAAGCCGGTGGCTGGACCGTAGTCCGCTCCACACTGACTGCATGTAACCACTCTTTGATCGTAACACGACCACAAGGACCGTGCACCCCGTCCCCTCCAGCAACGACCAACTGTCTCCTGGAGCCAGTATGGACGAGGTAGTGGGTAATAGACAGGTAATCACCTTGTCAACATGCACATCAAGCGCAGCCACACCTGGGATGTCAAACAACAGCCAATCACTCGAAATGCCAATATCGATTAAAGTAAACGCATATGACGACATAAATACTCGCTAAATGAGCATATAGAAGAAATTGGTTATAAGTGAATCCGTGATTAGTACAAAATGTCCGAAAGTTATTTAAAAAAATACCACGCGATAAAATTACGCAAGTTCACCACAATTTGCGTGAGCGACGTGTGCAAGTAAGGAGAAGATTATAAAGTACGCAGAAAAATCCAAAAAAATGTAATGAATTTTAGCCACATTAAAAAGACCTAGTTTTAGTGTAAGTTGGTATATCCTACTGCGGTGAAGAAGCATCATGAATGCAACATCAACCTCAGCAAGGGGCACATATATATATATATATACATATATGTATACAAATATATTGGAGTGGCCCCTCAGGCTTATAGTGCTGCTGAGTTGCAGCAAAGGGCTGCCCACGTACTGTGGGTCTCGCAGAATCAAGTACTCCATAATCAGGTCACCTCGTAGTCTACGATAGCTTCCACTGAACACCCCCAATCGTTGCAGCCTCTCCTGATATGAAAGATTGCACATTCCAATTACGTTCATAGATACCCGAAGTTGTGGCTTCTCCCGAGCGTTAAGATCTTATTTCATCCCTGGATGCCAGGCTTGAATTGCGCATTCGACATGGGGGCGAACATACGCACTGAACATTTGTCGAAATATAGAGCTGTTTATTTGGCCAAATGCCAACAGCTCGACGTGCTGGTTCCTCGTTTTTGAGGCCTTTTCGGATTGCCTACAGCAACCCAAATCATTTTAAACCAGGACACCCAAGGCACGTTCGAGAGTTGATTGTTGCAGGATATTCGTTCCCAGCCGGTATGAGTTGCTGCTCTGGTGTCGGCTAGAAAGCACCTTGCATTTACGGACATTGAAATGCAGTAGACATTTGGGTTTACCATTGATATACAGTATATAGGTCACTCTGAAGCAGATGCTGGTCGGCATTCGCCTGGATCCTGCGTCGAATCTTGATTTCGTCGGCAACCATTTGGAAGTTTGAAGCGATTCCCTGTGCAGGGTCATTAATGAACACCAAAAACAAACGTGGACCTAGAACTGAGTCTTGCGGCACATCACACTCGACTTGTATGTGGTCCGATAAAGAGATCGGAACTCTGA